CTTATATTGCACATGTAAGTGAGCTTGGAGTGGAAGATCCTTGAGGACCCCTTGTCTTACTGAGATTTCTGTTTAGAGATCTCACCCCACGTTTGGGGCACCATTTCAGGTTCAGGTAATGCGGAGGTTGAGACCTCTAGCGGCAGGAGGCCGAAGCTTAGCTGATATTGTTGTATATATGCTGACATGTTTGGATGCTAAATTATATCTGATGATGATATGCTTTTAGTTTGCTAGTGTTATATTGCTTTTGTGGAGACTCTATTGATTATGCTGTCTATTTGGTGAGTATGGGGATTGTCCATGCCACGTTGACTTGATTATGTCTTATTTTGGTTTGGAGTTGTAATAATGTATTAGGATATTTTCCGGACTACGGGTTGTAGATTCGTGACTTAGATACTCACAATTAATCTATGTTATGAGGTTTTTCAGTTAGTTGTCTTTGCAATACATATAAAGGCATTTTTTTTATGAAAATGATTAAGTAATCAACTTGGCTAAGTATAATGACGTCATAATTGAAAAGAAAAAGATATTCCGCAAATTTTTAATTAACTGTGGCTTAATACGATGACATGTTAACAAATCGGGTTAACACGGGATGTTACATATACTATATCTGGGGAAATTAATTTCCTCTCACCAACTTCAGTCCAGCATGTAGTAGTCCTGCATCTCCTGCCACCGAGAGCCTCGTAAGGTGTCATGCCAAAACTGGCATGAAAGCTGTTATTATAGGAAAACTCCACTAGTGGAATATACACATCCCACCTAACACCTTACTCCAATGTATATACCTTAAGCATATCCTCCAAGGTCTGTATAGTTCTTTTTGTCTGACCATCTGTCTGAGGATGATATGATGTGCTCAATCTAAGCTGAGTACTAAAAGCCTGTTGTAACGACCCCCATAAACCAGATGTGAACTTTGGATCTCTATCACTAATAATACTCTCAGGTATACCATGAAATTTCACAATCTTACTGACATATAAACGAGCCAACTTCTCTGTAGTAAAACTCACCTTCACATGGAGAAAATGAGCGGATTTCGTCAATCTGTCAACTATAACCACATAGAATTATACCCAGCCAATGTCCTGTGCAGTCCAACAACGAAATCCATAGATATACTCAACCACTTCCACTCTAGAATCAACAATAGCTAAAGTAAACTTGCTGGCCTCATATGCGCTGTTTTCACTTTCTGACATATCAAACACCTGGATACATACTTTGTTATGTCCCTTTTCATACTTTCCCACCAGAAATATTTCTTGAGATCATAGTACATTTAGGTGGCACCTGAGTGGATATTGTACTGGCCTTTATGGGCTTCTGCCAATACATCTTCCACAAATTGTCCCAAAGGCACAACTATTCTGTTTTAATAAACTAAAAGATCATTGCTATCAACTATAATTTCTTTCTATCCTTCCAAGGACTCTAAGCTCCCATCATTATGATTCTTTTAAAGATTTCATTTTGCACCTCTATAGTCTAGGTTTCAAGGCTTCATGTTCCTTTACTGATAACTATATTTAGGCTTCTGAACTATTCAATAAGGTTGTACTCCTCTATTATAATACCTGCAACACTAGCTGATTTTCTGCTTAAGGCATTAGCTACTATATTAGCCTTGCCCGGATTGTATTGTAGCTCAAAATCATAGTCCTTAATGAACTCCATCCATAATCTATGTCTCATGTTTAATTCTTTTTGGTCAAAGAAATATTTTAAACTCTTATGATCACTAAAAACTATCAAGTTAACACCATATAGAAAATGTCGCCATATTTTTAAGACAAACACTATGATTGCTAACTCCAAATCATGAATAGAGTAATTTTCTTCATGTGGTTTCAACTGTCTAGATGCATAGGCAACAAATTTTTTCTTCTGCATCAAAACACACCATGGCCCCATCTTGGAGGCATCACTGCAAATCTCAAACTTTCTTGTTGGGTCAGGAAGAGTGAGAATTGTAGCTATAGTCAATTTCTCTTTCAGATCTTGAAAACACTGCTCACATTCAAGGGTCCACACAAATGGAACACCCTTTCTTGTCAATCTGGTCAAAGGTAGTACCATAAGTGAAAATCCCTAAATGAACCTCCTATAATATCCTGCCAAGAAAAAGAAACTTCTGATTTCTGATACTGTCGTAGGTCTTTCCCAATCAATGACTACTTTTATTTTGCTAGGATCTACTGTTACTCCATCAATAGAGATAACATGGCCTAGGAATTTCATCTCGGTAAGCCAAAATTTATATTTTGATGGCTTAACATATAACCTTTTTTCTTTCAAAATTTGTAAGACTATTCTGAGATGCTTTGCAGGATCTATATAATTCTTATAATATATCAGAATGTCATCAATGAACACAATGACAAACTAATCTAGGCAGGGCTTGAAAATATGATTCATGTAATCCATTAAAATTGCCAGAGCATTAGTGAGGCCAAAGAGAATTAGCTGCTGCCATGTGTAAAGATGTGTGAGCAGAGACAAACTGCCTAAGCTGGTTAACTGCGAAAGACAAGTCTGGTCTCATTGTTGTGAGATACAACAAACATCCTATTAAATGACGATAGACTTGAACACCTGGAAGAATATCATATTCAACAATAGTGGCATGATGAAGCTTATGAGAAGGTTCCATGGGGGTAGATGCAGGCTTGCAAGCAATCATTTCACAATTGGTCAATAGTTCAAGAGCGTATTTGCGTTGATTTACCACTATACCAGATTTAGAACGGGCTACTTCCAACTCGAGAAAGAAGCAAAGATTGCCCAAGTATTTGATTTTGAACATTGAGTCCAGTGATGCCTTTACATGGTGTATCTCATCCAGATCATTACCCGATAACATAATGTCATCCACATAGATTAAGAAGGCAGTTAATGAAGAAGGTACGTGCTTGACATAGAGGGAGTGATCTGCAATTGATTATTTGTATCCCAAAGAAACCAAGGCTGAAGATAGCTTGGAGTACCATTGATGGCTTGCTTGCTCGAGACAATGAAGTGACTTATGAAGTTTACACACCTTGGGAGATGAAGATGGAGTGAAGCCTTCGGGTAGAGCTATATAGACCTCTTCATTGAGGTCTCCGTGCAAGAACGCGTTGTTCACATCTAGCAGTAGGAGATGCCAACATCTGGAAGCAGCTATGGTGAGGAGTACACGAACAGTGGTCATCTTAGCAACTGGTGATAAGGTATAAAGGTAGTCCACTCCCTCCATTTGGGTGTAACCTTTGGCAACTAAACGTGTTTTATACCTCTCGATGCTACCATATGCTTTCAGCTTGATTTTGTACACCCACTTGCACCCTATGATGTGGTTGTCAGGTGGTTTATCCACAAGGATCCATGCGTGGTTTTGTTATAAGGAAAATAGCTCTGCTTGCATAGCTTGTTTCAAGCATTCATGCTTGGATGCCTAAAGATAAGTGTGTGGTTCAATCTGTGTGATGGAATTGCAACAAAAACAAGTGAAAGTAGAAGAATATGTTTTATAGGATAAGACATCAGATAAAGGAAAATGAACATAAGGTAAGTTGTTCATATTTAATTTTGATGCAGAAGTCAAAGAGAAGGAACAATGAAAATCTCATAAATATTGTGGATGAGACTTGATACGAGTAGAACGTCGTACATGTGGGTCATTGGCATTGGAGGAGTTATCTAGAATGGTATATTTTGATGCCTTTGTTGGGGAAGTAGTAGGTGTCGAAGATGGAATGTTATATATGGGAAAATCAAGCATTATATTGGTAGATGAATCAATAGTTTGAACACAACTCTTTATAAATGGGAATTGATTTTCATAAAAAACATGACAAAACACAAATATCTCATTGAAGACAGATCATAAAGAACTTGACCCTTCATGCCATCTTGGTAACCAATGAATGCACACCTTTTGGCTCTGGGTGAAATTTTTCCTCGATGAGCAGTGATAGTGCTAGCATAGTTGAGGCAGCCAAACACTCGTAAGTGAAGGAGTGTTGGAGGCTTATTATAGAAAACTGAATAGGTGATTTGTTGCCAAGAAGATAAGTGCAAAGTCCATTAATCAGATGTGTGGCATGAGTTATTGCAAAGCACAACAGATTCAAAGGTAATTATGATTGAAAAAATAGAGCATGTGCAACATTGAGAACATGTTGATGCTTACGCTCAACCTTGCCATTTTGTTTAGGTGTTTCTACACAACTCCTCTAGGGGATTTTTCCCCTTTTTTGATAAAAATTTGTCATGATAAACTCGCTCCCATTTCACTTCGAAGCACTTTCAAATTGATTTCAAACTGAGTTTCTATATATGAAATAAAATTGTAATAAGTTCGCTTCTCAATCTAGCAAACTTGGGTGAAGTGTAGCTTCTTTTATTGTACTGGGTCTGACACTAAGGAGAAGGATATTAACTATGGTTTAATCTTTCATTTGATGTAAACTAGACTCAACCTTCCATTTACTTCGACGTTATATTAACTATGGTTTAAGTCTTTCATTTGGTTTCCTCTGAAAACTCCTTTAATTCCTATACAAAACAAGCCTAGTTCTGCTCGACGTTATATTAACTGTGCTTGATCTTGCCCTTGGGCAAGATGGTTCAAATACCTCGGGTTAGAAAAAGAAAACACTCTTTTGGGGAAATGCCTGATTTATTATTCCATTTATTCATAACTGAAATTGTAACTACAAGAGGAAAACATCAGGGAAACGTCAGATCTGTCTTTCTTTTCAACTAAAGTATTTTTTCAGTTTATCTGCATTCCATGTTCTTTTCACACTTTTCCCTTGCAGAGTTTCTAGCACATAAGCTCCTCTTGTTAGCTTTTACTTGACTCTGAATGGTCTTTACCATTTTGGGGCTAACTTTCCCTCAGTCGCGTTTCGTCCTCCTACGTCTGCTCTTCGTAGAACTAAGTCTCTGACTACAAACGATATGGGCTTCACCTTTCTATTAAAACGGGTAGTAACAAGCTATTTTGCAGCAAAGTTTTTGCAATGCGCTATAACTCGAGCTTCGTCTATCAAATCTAGCTCCACCGCTAATTTTTTACTATTCTCTTCTTCTGCTTGAGATAAGGCTTGCACCCTTCTCCATGAAGGTTCTCCCAATTCCACCGGGATCATGGCCTTGCATCCATAGGTTAATCTAAATGGACTTTCTCCAGTAGACGTTTGCATCGTGGTTCTGTATCTCCAGAGGACATACCACAACTCTTCAACCCACTTCCCTTTAGCAGATTGGTCTATCCTCTTTCTCAGTCCTTCTATGATAACTTGATTTGCTGCTTCTGCTTTCCCATTAGTCTGAGGATGCTCTACGGATGCAAATCGATGTCTAATGTGGAGGTTTGCCATCAATTCCTGGAATGCTTTACTCGTGAACTGGGTCCCGTTGTCAATAACCACCTTGGCTGGAATTCCAAACCTGCAAATCAAGTTTCTCTCAAAGAAACGCTGAACTCGAGCCGAGGTGATCGTTGCAACCGGTTCTGCTTCTATCCACTTAGTGAAGTAATCAATGGTCACTATCAGCCACCTCAACTGCCCTTCCGCTGTTGCAAACGAGCCCAGAAGGTCCATTCCCCATTTAAAGAATGGCCATGGTGTCGTGATTAAACTTAACTCTTCTGGGGGGCTAGAAGATTTTTTCCGTGTCTCTGGCATTGATCACATTTAAGCTCATGCTCTTTCGCATCATTACCCATGGATGGCCAAAAATATCCGGCTCTAACCGCTTTCCGGGCTAAAGCCTTACCTCCAATATGTTGGCCGTTGATTCCTTCGTGGATTTCGGTCAGGACATATTTGGCCTCATCCATAATCAAGCACTTCAACAGGGGCGAAAAGATCCTTTTCTTGTAAAGCTGCCCTTCCATCATGGTGTATGATGCTGCATCCTTAATTAATTTCCTAGATTCTTCTTTAGCGATGGGCAAGGTTCCATTTTCCAAGTAATCGATGATAAGGTAACGCCAGTCATCTTTTTCTGATATCTGCATAACATATGTGGGTTCTGGGATACTTTGTTCAACTACCGTCCTGTGATTTCCCCATCCCTTGGTGCTCGCCAACTTAGACAATATGTCCGCCCTGCTGTTTTCATTTCTTGGAATATGGCTGACCTCTACCTTCTCGAACTCTGCAATTAACTGCCTCGCAGAGTCTAAATACTTAGTCAACAGTGGTCCTCTGGCTTGATAGCTCCCTTCAATTTGGGAAGTAACCAATTGAGAGTCACTATACACCTGTAGCTTCCGAGCTCCGAGATCCTTAGCCTGATGCAATCCGGCTATGAAGCCTCGTATTCTGCCTGGTTATTTGATGTTTCAAAATGCATTTGCATAGAGTACACCATCGATATTCCTTCCGGGTTTTCTATGATGACCCCGGCCCCACTACCTTTGGGGTTAGAAGACCCATCCACATATACCTTCCATGTGTCTGGGTTGCTTGAAGCTTCCATTTGGATCGAAGTAAGCTCCCTGATAAAATCTGTCAATGCTTGGGACTTGATTGCTTTACGACTTTCAAACATTATATCAAATTCTGATAGCTCGACAACCCAAGCCATCATTCTTCCTGCTAAATCAGGCTTGTGAAGGATATGCCGGATTGGCAGGTCCGACCTAACCACAATTTGGTGTCCCTGAAAATATGCTCTGAGCCTCTTAGCCGAGATCAACAGGGCAAATGCAGCCTTTTCTAACTTTTGGTACTTGAGTTCCGCACCCTGCAAGAGACGGCCCACGAAGTAGATCGGTTGTTGTCCTTCTTCGTTTTCTTGAACTAGGACCGAACTGACAGCTACATCTCCCACAGAGAGGTATATTATCAATGCCTCCCCTTCTCTTGGTCTGGTCAACACTGGTGGTGAAGCCAGTTGCTTCTTAATTTCTTGGAATGCGGCCTCACACTCCGAACTCCACCCATATTGAACCTCCTTCCGAAGTAGCTTGAAGAAAGGTTGTTCTGTTTCTGCAGATCGAGGTAAAAATCTAGTGAGGGAGGTTAGCCTTCCTGTTAATTGCTGTATCTCTTTCTTGTTTGCCGGGGCCTTCATTTCCAGCACTGCTCGACACTTATTCGGGTAAGCTTCGATGCCTCTGTGAGTCAACATAAACCCCAGAAATTTTCCTGCAAGGACCCCGAAAGCACATTTGGCTGGGTTCAACCGGATGTTGTATCGTCTTAGTTTTTCAAAGGTATGCTCCGGATCTTCAATGTGTACTGCCGAATTGGTCGACTTGACAATCATGTCATCTATGTACACCTCAACACTCTTACCTAGTTGGTCCGCGAACACCTGATTCATCATTCTTTGGTAGGTGGCCCCTGAGTTTTTCAATCCAAAGGGCATCACATTGTAATAGTAGTTCGCCTTTTCTGCGATGAAGGTAGTCTTTTCCTGGTCTTCTGGGTGTAACAGAATTTCATTATACCCTGAATAAGCATCCATTAAGGACAATATTTGGAAACCAGATAAGCTATCAACCAGTTGATCTATGTTAGGCATAGGGTATGCATCCTTAGGGCATACTTTATTTCGATCTGTGTAGTCTGTGCACACCCTCTATTTTCCATTTGGCTTCTTAACCATTACCACGTTGGACAGCCAGGTTGTGTATTGTATTTCTCTGATGAATTCTGCTTCCAACAATTCCTTCACATGATCCTCCAACACCTGCCGACGCTCTGGGCTGAGCTTTCTTTTCTTCTGCGCTACCGGCTTAGACCCGGGGTATACTGCAAGCTTATGACAGCAAAAGGCAGGGTGTACGCCGAGAATTTCTGAGGACTTCCAAGCAAAAACGTTTTTATTTTTCCTCAGGCATTTGGTAAGTCGAACCTTTTCCTCTTCAGTCAACCCCTTACCAATCTTTGCAACTTGCTCTTCGTCCCCAATGCTTATTTCTTCCAACTCGCCATCGGGTTCCGGTCTCGAAATCTGAGTATCATCCCTCATGTCCAATTCTACCATGTTGATCAGCGTCTTTTTCTCCCTGTTTGAGCCATCCTGTTGGCTGTCAGTTCTCATCTCGACTGAAGGTTTAGGGTCACTTTGGACTGCCCTGACCGACTTAAAATAACAATCCCGAGACTCTTTTTGGTCTCCTGCAATGGTGATGATCGTGTTTTGCTTACCAATCATCTTAAGTTTTTGATGTTTGGTGGAAACCAGCATATCCCAGTCGTGGATCGTTGGTCTTCCCAAAATCACATTGTACTCTGAAGGGAAGTCGGCAACAATGAACCTTACTCTTTCGGACTTGTACGCCTCCTTGATTCCTAGAGTGAGTCTTAGATCTATATATCCTTTGGGGATGGTGTTACGGCCATTGAATGCGATCAAAGCCGTATTGCAAGGTTTCAAATCTTCTTCATCCATGTTCATTTTCTGGAAAGCCTGCCACAGGATTATGTCGGCACAGTTGCCGTTGTCCACAAATATCTTTTTGACTTTACAGTTGACTAGTGTTCTCGTTATAACTAACCCATCAACATGTCCTGGCATGACATCCTCCAGCTTTTTCTTGGTGAAATATAGTATTGTGGTTCTTTTTCGACCTTTTTAAACTTGGGCCGCTCTCGTATCGAGAGCACCTCCCTTAAGTATTTCCTCCTGGCATTCATGGTATCGCCTCTTCCTCCGAAAGCCCCGTTAATCACATTACATTCGAACTCAGGTTCCACGAACTCGTCCTCTTCTCTGGTCGGCTTCTTGCCCCGACTTTTTTCCTTGTGCCTTTTTTCTCACGGTGGGCTCATTGGCCGACCTCCTATTCTCTTCCTATTGTTCTTCCATCCTTGCGTCCTTATAAGATATTGTCGCAGCTTTCCGTCTCTGATATATTTTTCAATCGCGTCTCTTAGGTCCCAGCATTCATCAGTAGTATGGCCGGGTCCATCATGGAAAGCACAGTACCGAGATTGGTCCAACCCGGCTAGATTGAGTAATGGCCGAGGTCTATCTACCCTTTTCATCTCTGTGGATGCTACCTCCCTCCAGATTTGTGATCTGGACGAATTCAAAGGCGCATACCTGTCAAATCTCCCCTTCGCTGAAGTTTTATCATCTTGCCTTTTACCTCGGTAACCGTTTTGCTTCCTGCTGTCAAGTTTTTCTGCTTGGCCGGGGTACTGCCTTTGATCCATATTCTCGATTTCCATATGTTCAAGCTCTAGATATTTCTTCGATCGTGCTGTGAACTCTATTAGAGTTCGGAATGGGTCTTTGTAGACGGACTTAGCCAACCGAGAAGAGCCATGTAACCCCGCGATTACTAAATGTAGATGAACATTTTTTGACAACCCGGGAACCTGCAAGGCCGCCATTTTAAAACGGTCCAAGTACTTTTGCAAGGTTTCCCCATTTTGTTGTCTTATTTTTCCCAACGCAAATTCTGACTTCGGCTATTTTTTGCTATTGGCAAAATTCAGCAAGAACCTCCCTCCAAGCTCTTCAAAGGATCTGATGGATCCCACTGGAAAAGATGAAAACCATGTTTGAGCAGCTCCGGTCAGCGTAGTCGCAAACAAACGGGTAATCAAATGTTCTTCTATTCCCTTGATGTACATTGCCGTATCAAAGTCATCCAAGTGCACCTGGGGATCCTGCGTTCCATCATATTTGAGGAGTTCTGATAAATTTAGATTTTCTGGGAAGGGTGCATCCACAACCTCATCCACAAAGGGGCTATCGTTGTACTGTCCCCTGTGATACTTCCTCCTATAGATCCCGGATACGTCATCCGGGTTTCTGAATGGGTTTATGAACTGGGAACTCTCCCTCTGCCTTTCTTTATTTATTCCTTCATCTCGGGTTTCCTCGTGCCGAGGTTACTGATTAAAAGCCAAGCCGGGAGCGTTCCTTTGAGATCGGCTCCCAACATGTCTGATATTTCTCACTTGAGCCCGGGTTCTGTCATTGTTTCCCTAGGGATTCGTGATCCTCAAGTCATTCATAACCCGGGTTATAGCTTGCTCCGGATTCGGGTTAGAGACTCGCCCTACTCTAGTCTCCAGCTCTCGCATCTGCCTATCACCTTCCTCCCGTTCGAGCTCGTGCCTTCTTTCCATCTCTTCCATTCTCCGAAGGACCGCAGCAACGGCCAGATCCGTCACCCGCAGATCCGCAGCAGCATCCAGATCCGTCATCCGCGGATCACCAATTGCACCTTTTAGAAACTGCATCGCGTCTGCAACTTGGTCCTCCATTGGTTGTAAACCCTGCACATATGGGGCATTCGGATTGACGACTGGGGTTGATGCCGAATCTGAATGCACGTTACTAACATGCACCTCATTATTGTCTATATAATGATTCACAGGATCCTCCCTGATTGGTGGAACAGGATGATGCCTGGAATTCGATCTTGAAGGCTGTCGATATCTACTCCTGGTTGTCCTTGCCATCTCGATCATCTGCCTTTAATCACGTAGTAATAGTAAGAAAAATCTTCGTTCCCCACAGACGGCGCCAATGTTCTGCCTGAGGCAGAGGTGTCCGACCGTTGGTCAGATGATTGATCTTGGATTTAGTGCTTTCTCTTTAGATACCTATGAATTAGGTATCTTGGGGACAACGAATCACTACACACTATATGATGGCCTTAACCAGAGGGGGTGTGTGTGTGCACTGTCGTGATTCCATAAAATAGGGTTAGAGAGATCAGTCATACCTGTGATTTTTAGCTCCTATTTATAGAGCTTACCTTTGGGCTTATGCTGCTTGGGCTTCTCGCAGACATGAGCCTTTGCCAGGTCTATAACAAGTTAAAACAAATTTTTAATCTCAATATAATTCTTTTAAAATAAGTAAAAATAGAACCAAATAGTAAAATAGCTATTTAAATTATCAATTCATCCCTTCTTTTTTTTCATATTTAAAAAGAGTTGAAAAATTATAACATACAAAATAACGTGATTTGTACAATTTTAGTATAGTTCTTGTTTGTCATAATAATTCTCAAGTTAATCGTTCATTAGAAACGAATTAGATTGCAAAACGTTAAAATGGGATAACGATTGGAATGGAAGTGTCATGAAGTGTCCAACCCAAGGCACCGCCATTCTACACGCGTTCCGTTCAGTTCAGTCGGATAGAAACGTGGGCCCACACCTACCCTTTCCTTTTCCCGCCGATTCACTCATGCATTTCACTCCCAAACTAAATTCCGTTACTTCCTTTCTTGAAATTCACCTCCAACTCAACCTGCATACAAATTAAGAAACAGAATCAACCAGTCAATCCATGATAACACTGTTGCTATGCCCTTGAAAAGCATAATCCGGCGGAGACTACTGTCTCTGCTCCAGCCATGGCTGCTAGAAGAGCCTCAACTCGATCTCAAATTAGGGTTCCTCAACTCTCTCGCCGTTGCCAAGAACCTCCGCTTCGACGTCTCGATTCTCAACCAGCTCTTCGACGCTCCTGCTCTCTTGTTCTTCAAGGACCTAACCGTCGAACGCCTCACCGTTCGATTCTCAAGCTGGCACTCGCCGGCCTTTACAATAGAAGTCCATGGCGTTCGCGTCGTGCAATCTTTCGAGTGAGTCCTATCCATTATGAGCCTTTTTTCTTCTCTCTCTCTTGTGATTTTGACTCTGATCAGTTGAATAAGCATCGTTTCCGTAACTGACATAACTGTTTGGTTTTGAAGGAAGCCGGAAGAAGACGGATGCGCGAGACGGTTGCGGACGTCGAAGTATGATTATTCGGATTATCTCAGAAACAATCTTTCGGCACTTGATCCTGAGGTAACGTATGTTCTTATTCGAGTAATTCATACTGAGGTAGATGAGTTTTGCTACTTGGTGAGGTTCTTCATCGGAAACTGGTGGAGCTTCATCTAGATTATTAGTCTAATGATAGATTATCCCTTGGTTAATGCGAAGTTGCTTTACCTTGTACTTATACTGATTTGCATACTAGTTGGAGTTGGAATACTATGTTTTCCACCGGTGTTGTATGAGATATATGAAAAATATTGGAGAATACTGAAACTACTTTAGTTTATTGAATGTGGAAGATCCTAGCTGTCTCAATGTCATGATTTAATAATTTGTATGTCTTTATAATGGGGGAATACTACTAGAATGGGGAAGATCACTTGATGCCTAGTCAGCAGATTCGTTGAACATAAGAAAAAGGTGATTTGTGATTGATATTTGTCCTCTGAGTCCAAAGAGAAAGACATACCTAAGCTGCTGATTTTTTGTTTTTAGCTTTCCCATGCTGAATCAATTTGTTAAATATAATGTCATTTTGGTGATTACTGTTACCTTTTGTGTAAATTTTAGGGTTGCTCGTTGCATCACATTTTGGAGAGGATCTTATTTGCTGTACCTGAGGGGAAAGATTTTACAACATCTTTTTTGAGTCTTATTCTGAAAAACTGTCATCTAGAGGCACATCGCATTCATGTGGAGGTTCAATTCCCCATCTTAAATGATGCGTTTTTGTGTTTTGGAGAAATAAAGGAGTTTAGTGCAAGATCTAAGTATCTGGATCAAAAATGTCTTCTTAGAGGTTTTCTCAGTACACTTTTTGTTCCGATGAAAGAGAGTTCATTTACATTAAACGTCATTGGATTCAGAGTTGGATTAATTAGAAAGCATCACGTGAACCGTGTTTTGCTTTCATCAGATTTGCAGATTTTCATTAAATTTAGAGATCTTAAGCTGGTAGATTGCACTCTCTGTTTTCCAGAACTGTTTTTTTCATTATCTCCAGATGACATATCTATATGTCTACTTTTTTACAAATTGCTATCTGGTGAGTACAATCAAGCTAGAGGTGCGAGAGAACTATGGAGAATAGCTTCCAACAGAATTGGCCATGTGATTATAACTCCTAGATTGTCATTGCAAAGATTGGTTGGTATTATAGGTCAATGGATACACTATGTCAATGCTTACGAGAATATCTTGCTTCTAATTGGATATTCTACTTGCCACATATGGAAAAAGTCCATTTCTAAGATGTCTCATAACAAACTAATTTTGAGTTCTGCTAGAAACCATTGGGAGTTGATCTCTGACATTGAGAAAAAGTTGCCTGTTGAAGGCATTGCACTGGCAAGGCGAATAGCCCGTCATAGAGCAGCACTGAAAGTTCCATTTGATTGTCATGAGGAATGTGTGACCAGAAGTAATTTCTTTCGCCCTTTTCTTTTTATACTGACATTTATGTGGAAAGAAATGTCAAGGATAATCTATTGCCTAGTGAACATCTCTTTTGGGAAAAATGTAGTGCAAGATCCAGATATTGATGGATGTTGTTTGGGAAGTCTTATCGAAGATCCTTGTCAAAGAAGTTGTTTTGTGCTGAACTTTGGGAAAATCATAATGACAATTTCCCAAATCAATGAAATTCAACCATCTGTATGTGAGAAGTTACAGTCACGCACTGGGATTGCATACTCAGATTTCCTTTCAATATGTTTCTGTATTGATGCTTTGTTATTAGTATCTGTAAAAGATATTTTTGAACAGAGAGTCTTTCTATCATGTGGGCAAATGAAGGTTGAAACTGCACCTTTTACAATGTCAGCAGACACTAGTACAATGCATACACTTAGTTCAACTAAAGGAAACGGAAAGGAAGATATTGATGTTATGGAATCAATTTTGTGGATTGAACCTGCAAAAATATTTCTCCTTTCCGAAACTAATGCTGCCCAGGCTGAAGACTCTTGTCATTCTTATATTGAAAGCTTTATGGGAAAATTGTCCGTGAGTTGGAAAGGAATTTGCAGCAATTTTAATGCAAGTGAGATTGAGTATTCTGAAAATCCGTGCCTTCTCAGTAAAGTTGAGATATCTTCCACAATACCAGACCATAGGAATTCAGATTTTGGATTTTGTGAATGTGGTTTAATGCTGGGAAAGTTAAATTTAGTTTTGACTCATTCTTCAGTATCATCGGTGTCTCTAATTCTTAGTCAGATACAACATACTGTTTGCAGGGAGGACAGGAGGGAAGCATGCATTACTTCAAATTTTGTGGGCGAAATAGAAAATGCTTGGGTTAACAAATATGACTGTTATTCCAAAGGATTGATTATGGCCTTGCTTCAAAAGCTTCCAGAGGAACAAATTCATTTTGGAATGTTTGTTGATGGTCCTTCTGTAAGATTTTCACACAGAAGGGGGGCCAATCTTGGTGGTCAAGACGTTAATGACATTATCAGTCAGGATAATTTTGACCTCACTTTTGATTTCCATGAGATTGAAGTGGCTGTTGGTTCCCCTTCTGTATTTGATATGACATCATTGACAAGTCAATTGGGGCATGGAGATGCCAAAGCTGAGTCTATTGCATTGGAACCTCGGGTGATTGAAATTCCAAAACCGAATAATGATAAATATGCATCTTTTGGAAAGATTTCAACTAGTTCCTACCTTCATCTGAATGGGTTAAATGCTTGTCTGGAGAAGTCAGCAGAAAACCATCAGATTCAACTTTTTATGTTGAAGCCAATCACTGTCCAGATATTATCCTTTAGGTAGGATCTCGGCTATAGGCTGATACTTTGTATTTGTTATCTATTTCCCGCATTTTATGATGATGATTCCTTATGGGTCTTATATCTTGATGAACTCTATTTCTTTTGTGCCTAGTTTATTTGTTTTCTATGATATCTTCATTTATTGTTTTTATTGATGTTTTCAGTAATGCTGAGGCTTTTTTTTTTTTGGGTGTGTGTTTGTCATCAACTTTGAAGAGTTGATGTGTGTGGAGACTAGCCTATTGATAAATTACAGAACACAGTGACTTGATTTGGTTAGCTCTGGCTTTGGCCTGCTTGATGTAATCTCTATCTGATATTAAATTGCTCGTCTTCTTGAGTTTGGTCTTTTTTGTGAAGGGTACAGCTCGATTAAAATTATGTTAATGAAAATGGTCAGCTCTTATGGAATTTGAGGTAGCTTGGCAGTTGGCAGTCGTGGAATAAATTGTTTGGTTCGTTTGGGGAGACATCGAATAAGTCTGCATAACTTGGAGTCTTTTTTCTGACCATTTTTCAAAGATTAGAGAGTAGAAAGGAGAGTAAGATGCTTTTTATTTTAAATAATTTTGCTCTTTAGCAGGGGTGTGGTGAATTTGGTGGGAGTGAAAAGCAATATTATTAATCTCGGATAGCGGCTGTCCCTTCAAACTGCTATAGCAGGTAGCGCTACAACACTACTGTGCAAAATGTACCTAAGTGATACATTAAATTGTACTCCGCAAATATAAAACTTAAAATATGAAAATGTGACATAAAAAACAAATTTGAAGGATCTCAAACTCAAACATAAATGATTTCAAACATTAAAATTCAAATCATAAGCAAATTGAAAGAATTAAAGTCTCAAATAATGTAACACAACAAAATAAAGTGGCAAAATTAGTGTTTACTATAAAAAAAAAGTGGCAAAATTAGTCAAAATTCAAACTGCCACTTAAGTGAAATTTCAAAATCAAAGAACTTAAGGAATTAATCATAATTGAAATCATGAACATCCAAATCTTCATGTTCACTTTCACTTGTATCTAAGTTGTAAATCTCTTCCTTCTACGACGAGAACACTTTTGTAGAAACTACTATAGTGGCGCAATAGCGCCGCGATTCAGCCGCAATAGTGGCCGCTACATCTGCTACACTTCGCCTAACCGTCGCGGCGCGGTCTGTGGCGGCCAGATGCTGCACTGCAACGCAACTCCGCTAAAGCGGGGCTATTCACAAGTATGGTGAAAAGGCCAAATCTTTTAAAAGATATCTCTTCCTTCTCATTTTTTAGGTGAAATGATTGTTTTTTTAGACTCCTTGTGGGTTTCGGGTCATGGTTTATTTAAGGTAATTGTCCAAAACAAATAGCTCTTTTGAACCGGTGTTTCTTTTCTTCATTTTTCTCTTTTATTTTAAACTTCCTTGTTGTTTCCTTTCTTTTAGGAGGTATTGTGCTTCTTTTCTCTTCTCTTTCTTTAAAGCAGTTGGAATGAGACAGTACTTCTTTTCTGTCTAATTTATTCTTTTTTATTTGGCTTTAGCTGGTGTTGCAGATGTAGACAAAATGGGGAATGTGTTGACTTTTTCTGTTATGTTGTTTGGCTAGGAAACTTAGTCCGTGGTATTGTTTCTTTCATGTTTTATATTAAAAAAGGCTGCTGGCTGCCTGTGAAACTTATTGCTTCACTCTGTCTCTCCTCTCTTTTTCCTTGTGAGTAGCTTGGTTATGTGCTCCAAAGTTTGTTTTAGAGTTGCTGTATGTTGGAGGAGAAAGTATGTCACAGGCAACATTTAGATACTTTGGACTCTGCTTTATATGGTGTACATGATTTTTGAGGAATAAATAAATTTTTATTTTGATAAACTGTAGGTCTATTGCATAAGAGAAGGAAATGAATAGTAAAACTAAGATGTCCTTCAAATGTGATTACAATAAAAGAAATAATAAGTTGCAAATTTTAGTATAAAAGAGTCAATTTGAATATTTAAAACTCCTAAGGTCAAATATTTTGCTTGGATAATGGTGATTAATAAGATTGATACCAATAAATAGGTTACAGATTCGTAGACCTCTGCACAGCTATTTACTATAGTGTGTAAGGGTAGTTAGGAAACAGGTGGCCATTTATTGTGGAGTAATCTGCATGCAGTTTTCGGTGAATATGAGGCATGTCGTTCCACCTTGGAGTAGTTTCCAATGATGTGTTTTAAGGGTTTTAAAAAGAATGAAGAGGCTAGAACTTTGTGGCAGCATGCCATCTATGCTATTCTTTGGTAATGCTGATCCACACATTTTCAAGGGCATTTCTTTGCTTATATTGCAGTACAGTTTATGTTTATGGTCTCTGTCTGGTGTATTTTTAAAGGAGTTTCCTTCTCTGATTTACAAAGACATTCGACAGCTTTGTTGCCCATTTGAGCTTGCTAGTCTTGCTGTTTTCTTTTAGTTGATCTCTTTAGGAGGATTTATTATTTTCTTCCCTTGTTGTCATTTCCCTCTTTTCTCTCTATTAAAATTCTCTTGTATATTTATAGAAAAAAGGAGCCGACAAATCCTTTTGTATGTCCATTGAAGAAATATCCTTCCAAAAAGCAGAAACCTATAAGAAACCAATGAAAAAATTTCGTCCCATGATATATACTGGGACTGAAACCTCTGCTGAATGAATTTATGCCTCTTATTTTTGAGAATGGTGTGTTAACGTACTTGACAATCATAATCTTCCTCTAGTTTTCACTATATGGTATATTGTGTGTTCTCGTGTAAGGTAGAACCGTTGAAGTTTTAATGGTTATTTGGTTATTATAACATATTCAAATTTTGATTAGAAGTTACTCTTGTAAATATTAGAATTAGTATTTATTTATTTATTTGTGATAGCTAGAATACTCTAGAAGAATATTTTGGGCTTAGCCCATTAGGTCTTTCAGTACTCTTTATATAGAGAGCTCTTGTACAGATTTTTTTACAATTCAATATTATTAAATTCAAGTTGGTATCAGAGCTCTCGATTCTGAGGGTTCTGCTTCAGCAATTGCCGCTATTAGGGCGGAAACCTTTTTTTTGTTTGCCTCTCGCCGCCGTCAGTCATCGGAAAAAATTATCCAGTGACCTTTTGGACCGAGAGGACCTTTATTGGACTTCTTTTCCTCTGATCTATCCTTTATCTACTGTTTCTGGTCAACGACGTCACCACACAGCCATGCAAACAGTAAATCGGACCTGTTTTTCACTGTTACGCACAGCTACAGTGACCTTTTGGACTCCGACCACCAACAGACAGGAGCGCAACCTCCGGGCGATCATCACCTGAAAAGCCCAGCTCCGGCAGACCATCCACGCGCCTCCACGCGCATTTCCTTCTTCTGCGCGTGACACCCACGCGCCGAGGAGTTCTCCGGCGCGTGACAGCGTGTGATAGAGGGGGTTCACCTCGGACCACCTTTGCTCAGCTCGTCTCCTTCTTGCGCATCTGGATTTGTGACTATCGTGGCATTTCAACTCGGTTAGGGTCATTCTACAGTGTTTTATTACTGTTCACTGACACTTTGTTCGTTGTTTTCTGGTTGTTTTCTTATTCTCAGCCCTTATTATGTCGAACGTTGAAAATACTCCAACCTATCAATCATCTGGTACACGTTCGATGGCTAACTCGATGGTTATGCTTTCTCCAACCGACCTTCCTCCTTTTCATCAGAATTATCATCTTAATGGGAAGAATTATTTGCAATGGTCTCAACTTGTTCGTACCATCCTTAAAGGGCGTTGTAAAATTTCTCATCTTGAAGGACCTGTTCTTGCCAAAACAGATCCAAAATTTGCTGACTGGGATGATGAAGACTCTCTTATTATGACATGGTTATGGAATTCTATGACTCCTGAGGTTAGTCAACATTGCATGTTCTTACCTACCGCTCTTGAGATTTGGGATATTCTCAGAAAGACTTACTCAACGAAGCAAGATGCTGCCACTTGTTATGATCTGAGGAATCAGATTTTTTCTACCAAGCAGGGCTCTCTCTCCCTTCCCCAGACACTCACGGAGTGGGTCTTGAACTGGGTCGGCCTTTTTTTTATGAATAGGTTATGGACTGAGCTTGATCAGTACGAGAATTTGAAGATGGAATGTAGCAAGGATGCAGCCACTCTGACCACCTCCATTGAACGCCATAGGATCTATGATTTTCTTTGTGGTCTCAACTCAGAATATGATCCTATTCGAGTTCAAATTCTTGGTAAGGAAAAATTACTGTCTCTTTCTGAAGTTTTTCACATTGTCAGGGGTGAAGAAAGTTGCAAGACTGTCATGATGGATACCAAAGCGTTTGAAGGATCCATTATGCTCTCATCTAAAGTTACAACTCCATCTCCTTCTGATTCTGAACTCACTGACGGGTCTGCTATGGTCTCAGCTAAGCCATCACCAAGGTTTTTTCCTCCTAAGCTTAGTAGAGAGGGACGTTAGTGTAACTATTGTAAAAGACCAGGTCACACAAAAGAGGTTTGTTACCGTCTTCATGGAAAGCAACAGGTTCAGGAGAAGTTTGGTAAGTCAACCCCACGTGGCCAGTTCTTCTTTGCCCCCTCAGACATCTTTCCTGTTAATGAGACCTCACGGACTTCACAGATGCCCGGTGAGTTTACTACTATTTGTCGTGAGGAATTGGAACGGCTTAGGTCCGTATTTGAATCTGTCAATAAGCCTTCTGGTACTGGTTCTTTGACTATGACTGGTAAGAACTCATGCACTCATTCTTTTGTTGCTTCTTGTACTGATTTCAAAACTTCATGGATTGTGGATTCTGGTGCTACTGATCATATGACTTGCTGCACTGACCCTTTTCTATCTTATAATCCTACTGTTGGTATTCGTACTATAGCTGTATATAATGGATCACATACATCAGTTGCAGGTTCTGGTAACATTAAAATCCAACCCTCCTTGTGTCTTAAGAATGCTCTCCATGTTCCTCAACTCTCTACCAATCTCCTTTCTTCTCATAAGCTTACTACAGATTTGAATTGCACTGTAACCTTTTTCCCTACTTATTGTGTTTTTCAGGACCTCACCACGGGGAAGACGATTGGAGTTGCTAAAGAGCAGGATGGGTTGTATTATCTGGTTCCAGACTTTGCTGCAGAAGATACCAAGGATCAGACTTTGATGACTCATCAGTCTACTTCAGATTCTCTTATTTGGCTTTATCACAAGCGCTTGGGTCATCCTTCTTTTAGTTTACTTAAGTCTATGTTTCCGTCTTTGTTTGTGTCTCAGTCTGTTGAGTCTTTTAATTGTGATGTTTGTCAGTTTGCAAAACATCATCGTGTATCTTTTCCTTGTAGTGAAATAAAAAGTATTGAACCATTTACTATTATTCATTCTGATGTTTGGGGCCCTTCCAAAGTCCCTAATGTTTTTGGTGCTAAATGGTTTGTCTCTTTTATTGATGATTATACTCGGATAACATGGATATTTTTGATGAAAGATAAGGAAGAAGTGACACAGTTGTTTATTCAGTTTTATCATATGATTGAAACCCAATTTGGTAAAAGTATCAAACGCTTGAGGTCAGATAATGGTACGAAATATGTTAATCAGCATCTTTTCCAGTTTATTAGAGACAAAGGAATGACTCATGAGCTCACATGTGTGGATATCCCTCAACAAAATGAGGTTGCTGAAAGGAAAAATCGACATTTGCTTGAAATTACTAGAGCATTGTTGTTTCAGACATCTGTACCCAACTCCTACTGGGGAGAAGCTGTATTAACTGCAGCTATTTGATCAACCGTTTACCCTCCCGGGTGCTTGGCCATGTAAGTCCTGTTGATCTCATGACTTCTTTCTTTCCTTCTGTTCCTATTATGCAGAGTCTCCAGTCTCGTGTCTTTGGATGTGTTGTCTTTGTCCATGTCCATAAACAGCATCAGAGTAAATTAGAACCTAGAGCCCTTAAGTGTGTCTTCCTTGGCTATGCTCCCAACAAAAAAGGATACAAATGTTACCATCCTCCAAGTCGTAAATTCTTTGTCTCTATGGATGTTAGCTCTCATGAATCTGAGTTCTACTTTCAACACCCTCATCTTCAGGGGGAGAACGGTATAGAAGCTTAATCCATTTTCTCTGAGTCTGAGTCTCCTTTTCTTTTGCCTACACCTAGTACCCAAGTTGAGAAGGAAGACTTAGATGCTGCTGAGATTGATAATAGATCTGAATCCTCATGTGACATGCCTCCTATTGATCGACAAAGAATACGCAAAGCTGGGACACCTGAGCTAGTATATCAAAGGAAGAAACAACCCACACTGCTCCACCAGCAACTGCAATCGCTTGAACCACTGGTAAGTACTGAATACACTGCTTCTTTTATTCTTGAGCCTGATATTAATTCTGATGACTTGCCCATTGCTGTAAGGAAAGGGAAAAGATCCTGTACCCAACATCCTATTTCTCCTTTTGTTTCTTCTAAGAATCTCTCTATGCAGCATAGAAGTTTTATTACAGCACTTGACTCCATTTCAATCCCGAAATCAGTACATGAAGCATTAAAGGATGATAATTGGGTTCAAGCCATGCAGGATGAGATGAATGCATTGGAGAAGAATAATACATGGGAAGTTGTTGACAGGCCAAATGGAAAAGGGCAGTAGGGTGCAGATGGGTGTATACTCCAAAATATAATTCTGATGGGATTCTTGAGAGATATAAAGCTCGACTAGTAGCCAAGGGGTTCACACAGACTTATGGTATTGACTACGAAGAAACATTTGCTCCAGTGGCCAAAATGAATACTGTAAGAATTCTATTATCTCTTGCTGCTCATTTTAATTGGGATTTGAAACGATTTGATGTGAAAAATGCCTTTCTCAACGGCGAATTAGAAGAAGTTTACATGGAGATTCCACCAGGATTTAACTCTACAAATGGAGATAATAAAGTTTGCAGATTGAAGAAGGCGTTGTATGGCTTGAAACAATCCCCGCGTGCTTGGTTTGGAAAATTTACTAAAGTTATGCTTTCAGTGGGATACAAGCAAAGTCAAGGAGATCATACCCTTTTCTTTAAACATTCTCAAGAAGGTAAGACCATTATCCTTCTAGTTTATGTTGATGATATGATCATAACAGGAGATGATATAGATGAGAAATGTGCTTTAAGGAAAAGACTGACTGCTGAATTTGAAATTAAAGATCTTGGCAATCTGAGATATTTTCTTGGGATAGAAGTTGCTCATTCTAAACAAGGCATTTTTATTTGTCAAAGAAAGTATATTCTTGACTTTCTTAAAGAAACAGGAAAACTCGGGTGCAAACCTTCCAGTACTCCAATTGAGCAGAATCACAGACTACGAAGTGAAAATGAGAGCCCTCCAGTGGACAAAGGACAATATCAACGAATAATGGGAAGATTGATATATCTAGCTCATACTAGACCTGATCTAGCTTATGCAGTTAGTGTTGTTAGTCAATTCATGCATGATCCAAGGGAGAAACACTTGCAAGCTGTGGACAAGATTCTCCAATACCTAAAAGGCACACCAGGCAGAGGACTATTGTTCCAGAGAGGAGGAAACCTCTCCTTAGAGGTCTATACAGATGCCGATTATGCTGGATCTGTGATTGACAGACGATATACTTCGGGCTATTGTATGTTTCTCTGTGGAAATTTAATAACATGGAGAAGTAAAAAACAGAATGTGGTTGCTAGATCAAGTGCAGAAGCAGAATTTCGGGCCATGGCTCAAGGGATCTGTGAGTTGTTATGGTTGAAAATCATTCTGGATGATCTCAAGGTGAGATATGAAGGATCTATGAAGTTACTCTGTGATAACAAGTCAGCCATCTGCATAGCCCACAATCCAGTCCAACACGATCGAACCAAACATATCGAAATTGATCGCCACTTCATCAAAGAGAAACTCGATAGTGGCCTGATTACTACTCCATATATCCCTTCTGGTCATCAATTGGCTGATGTCTTGACTAAGGGTCTTCCTAATGATAGGTTTCAAGAGCTTACTAGCAAGCTGAGAATGATAAATATCTATTCCTCAGCTTGATGGGGAGTGTTGTAAATATTAGAATTAGTATTTATTTATTTATTTGTAATAGCTAGAATACTCTAGAAGAATATTTTGGGCTTAGCCCATTAGGTCTTTTAGTACTCTTTATATAGAGAGCTCTTGTACAGATTTTTTTACAATTCAATATTATTAAATTCAAGTGTTACTTCCCCCCCCCCCCCCCATTTCTTTGTGTTTGTGATAGATTTTGGACATAGAATCATACAATAGTGGAGGTAAGAAGTTTTGGGCCTCTCCTTCCTATCCATAATTGAAAAATGTGTTCTTTCATTAGCTTCTGCCTTGCCGTGATTGTGATTTTTTATGATTAATTTCATATTGCAGGGATTATGTTTATTCATTGAGCACAACAATGTCTGCCTTTTCAGCTGCTCTCGACATAACGTCAGGAGGATTCACTGTTTTGTCCTTTTTGGATGAGATGTATATGATCTTTAAGGTGATTTTTTTTCCTCCCCGGTTGAATCAAATTATATTTATTGTTTTCTCATTTAGTATACATGAATCATTTCTGTCAGAAAAATATTAGGTATCACCAAAGAGTACAGTACTGTTTTTTATGTATCTAACAATAAGTAATCCCTATTAATCCATGCGCAAAAAAACAAATAAAAAATGCAGGCAGTTTGGGTTTCTTAATATATTTTTTTTTTCAATTTCTTTTAGATAATTCTAATATTTGTCTTAGGACAGAATAGGGGTTGGGATTTATTGTTTAGGCTTAGCATTTTCGTGTGTAAATGTAAAAATAAATGTTATGTTGTTTATGAACTTGATCTACAGATTCTACACATAAAACACACAGTATTTGACTTAGGTTTAGGACAGAAAGAGCTATGTGCAGTCTATTAAGATGTCAAATCATACTTGGGTCTCCATCTAATAGCTTAAGCATTTAGGAGATATAGCTTTTGGCATGGTATCAAAGCTTTTATGACCAATTTGTCTGGAGTACAATCTGTGCCGTCTCCACTCTTCATATTAAGTTGTATTTTATCACAAGGTAAAATGAACATTTCATTGTTTATGCTTCAAGCCCAAAAAGATATTATATGAGGGGTGTGTGATAGAACTGGACCAGAATTTAGGGAACACCCAAGGAAAACAAAAGAGATTTTTATTTATAGGATCTCCCTTATCCCTGGATTTATGGAAAACCCAAGTTTATGAAGATAAAGAATGACAACTGGCTGTCCCCCAGGAATTTGAGAGCCTGGTTTCTCCCGGACATTCAACTTTTAGCACTCAATAATCTTTCTCTGCCCTGTTTTTCCTTATATCCTAACTACAGACCATTCAGAGAAATATCCTCCAATATTAGGAAATCTTTACTCCCGTATCTAACAATATCCCTTATTGTCAAGTAATTCTATCTCATATATCTAACAATATCAATTAATATCAAGTAACTCTATCTACTATATCTAATTATCATTTAATATCATGTAACTTCCTAATATATCTAACAACATCAATTAATATTGTTTTGAGTATCAGAAATATCTAGAAGATATCGTATAATATCAAAATTATATCTTATTATACTTTAGTGTATCTTAGAGATCTCTAAGGATTAGTTTATCTATTTCCTTATATTTCATGATTTGTTTCCTTGTTCTAGGATTCCCCTATTTAGTATAAATAGAGATTGGTGCTTTATCTTTTGGAATTACATCAATCACTTCGTAAGATATCAATATACAATATTATTGGGTCTTTGATAGGATTCCCAAATTGATAAAAGAAAATAGAAACTGAATATGGAAGGTTGTATTGACAAAAACTGATCCAAAATGAAATCAGCTAAGGAAGCTTACGAAAAGTAAAACAGAGCAATTGAAATGATAATGAAAGCAAAGAAAAATACAGAAAAGTAACACAGATTCAGAGCAATTTGATAGGCCCTGAAATCTAATTCCAATTTTCTTGTTCGATTACTCTCCTTCTGTAATTCCATATACCCATGGTTCACCTGGACTACTGTTTTAAACGTCCACACCTTCTAGCTCAGAATTAGCCACCTTATTGCTGCAAACAGCAACTCCAATAGATACACTAACATCCAAGGCAGTGCAGGCACTTATGGCAATGAAATTACGCGAAAGTTCATTGTAATCCACAAAGCCATCATTGGCATATTGGTCCATTAAAGTTAAAATACAATAAAGCAACCGATTCCTATTTTTAAATGGAAATGGTGCACATGCTTCACTTCCAGCAGCAATAATGACAACATTACCTAGTAAATCAATTGTTGCTGGGCAAACTTAGTAGCATATCCATACATTAGAGGTAAAACAACATGCATATCATGAGATTCTTCTATTCTGAAACTATCATAGGATAATGATGTGGCAATAGGTCCATTAACCTCAAAATCTAAGAGGGGAGATGGTGAACGGAATTCTACAACTAAAATTTGATCGTATAATTTTTTTATTTTTATTTTAACCCAAAAATATTATTCAGAATTTCTTGAATAACAGACTTCTCATCTTCATCACGTTGTCTTTTTGCCAAAAACCAAAAGGTAATAACTATCTTCGGCCGAATATTCATAAGACTTTCCAATTCTCTTGTAATGTTGAACCCAATGAAACAAATTTAAAGGAGAGATAAATTTATGTTTACCAGCAAGGACTTTGCACTATCCGCTAAGCTGATTGTGCCAATAAAATCTTCTTCATGACTTCAATCGTTGCTTTTGCTGGTCTTCCTTCTCCTTTGGTACCATAGCATCTTTAGCGTTCTCTGTGTTTCTTGAAGCTTCGTCTTCCACCGTCGTTAGCTGGATTGATCTTGTTTTGCAATGAGGGCATATTTGGGAATTCTTCATTAAAGCTGAAATAAAGGCCTTTCCTTAATTTGTCTTCGATTTTCACCTGCGAAACCTGTCCTTCTCCCCTTTTTGTACTGTTGCCGCCCTTCAACATGGTATCAAAGCGAATACAATAACGAGGGAAAGGGAATAAACCCAAAAACTAATAAAATAAAATACAATAATTTAAATTATTTACAACACTCCCTCTCAAGTTGAGGATTGATTTTTATCATTCCCAGCTTGTTAGTTAGTTCTTTAGATCTATCAGTGACTAGAAAGAATGAATGGAGTAGTAATTAGTCCGTTGTCTATTTTTTTCTTTGATGAAGTGATGGTCAATCCGAATATGCTTTGTCTGATCATGTTGGATTGGATTGTGATAGGAACTAAACAAATAACAACAGATTTCCCAGAATAATGCTCTATAGAAGTTTCATTCCAGTGAATTCAACAAGGTTCAACAAGATTAATTCGGGCTACATGCTATAGCTCAGAATTTGCAGAAGAGAAATAAAGGAAAATTAACAGAAAACAATAAAGCTTCAGGGTCCTTCGAGATGCCCTGAGATCTCCCACTTGCATCAGCAATCCCTATGACCTCCAAGGTGTCGTTACTCTCGTTCACGACTCCCCTATAACACCCTCAGGCGCTGCATGAGTAACAAACTTTTGTAACAAATCCGCTGACTCAGCATGCTCAATGGAATGTGACAGCACATATCAGTAATATTATTCTTGGGCCATTTACCCCTATTACGGTCCCTGACATATACTTTGCCATATTGGGCTTTATGAAGTTGAGCCCTATCAATACTCCCCCCAACGAAAGCACCTTGTCCTCAAGGTGAAAGTCCGGAAATTGAACTTGCATATCATTATAGTCTTCCCACGAATTCTCAAAAAGAAGGAAGATCATGCCACTGAATGAGCACTTGTAATTGTCCCTGATGACCCCTGCGCCATTGCAAAACCTTTTCTGGTGCCACAATTAATTCTCATTCCTCAGAGAGACCAGAAGGTAATGGTTGAGCATTGATAACAGGACGTTCAACCTTCTTGAGTAAGGACACATGAAAAACCGGATGGACTTTGCTAGAGGGAGGAAGAGCCAACCTATATGCCGTTTCACCCACTTTAGCTAGAACTTCATAAGGCCCGTAATAACGGAGGCTTAGCTTTTCATTTACCTTAGCAGCCAAGGATTTCAATCGGTAAGGCTGTAAACGTAAGTAAACCAGGTTACCCACCTCAAATTGAACCTCTCTCCTTCGTTTATCAGCCTGAGTCTTCATAGTAGCCTGAGCCCTTCGCAAATTTTCCTTTAATTCATCTAGGATGGCTTCCCTATCAGCTAGTAACTAGGCAACTGCATCCACTGTGGGGAAGCTATTCCCAACTCGCAGGAGGCTAGGAGGATCCACTCCATACAGTGCTCTAAATGGGGACATCCCTGTGGAGTTTTTGTATGTGGTGTTATACCAATACTCAGCCTAATGCAGCCAATTAGGCCAAGTACGGGGTCTAGGACTACAAAAACAGTGTAAATATGTTTCGAGGCTCCTATTTACTACCTTGGTTTGGCCGTTAGATTGAGGATGGTAAGCAGTTGTAAAATTAAGCTTAGTACCTGCGCATTTAAACAGCTCAGACCAAAAGTGGCTCTGGAATAACCGGTCTCTATCAGGCACTATTGTAAGAGGGAACCCATGCAGCCTCACTTCTTCCTTAACAAACAGACCAGCAACCTCCTTAGCAGTGTAGGGGTGGGCCAATGGTACGAAATGGGCATATTTGGTGAGACGGTCCACCACAACAAGGATAGTATCCACTCCATGAGCCTTTGGTAAACCACCAATGAAATCAATGGACACATCAGTCCAAACCTGAGATGGTATAGGTAGCGGCTGTAGTAATCCAACCGGAGATAGGTTCTGGATTTTGTTTTGTTGACAAATAGCACAATCCATCACATAACGTTGGATTGTCTTCCGCATTCCCTCCCAAAAGACCACTCCCACCTTTCGCCTGTATGTCCTAGAGAAGCCAGAGTGTCCTCCAATACAAGAATCATGAAATTCTGAAAGAATAGAGGGAATGAATCGAGAAGATTTGGCTAAAACCAACCTGTTTCTGTAAAACAGACGCCCTCCTTGTAGGTGGAACCCAGTGTGAGATGCTGGATCTCCCAAAAGATCTTGGATTATTCCCATAAGCCTCGGATCTGCTTGTACTTCTTGATCAATGTCTCCTAATTGTGGCAATTGAACCTTAGATAGCAGGCAAAATTCCTCACCCGTGATAATGCATCAACAACGACATTCACTTTGCCTGGTTAATATTGAATCTCAAAATCATACCCCATTAGCTTAGAGACCCATTTTTGCTATCCCTCTCCTAATACCCTCTGCTCCAGTAAATACTTAAGACTCTTTTGGTCAGTTTTAACCACAAAATGTCTTCCTAACAGGTACGGTCTCCACTTCTGGACAGCAAACACGACAACCATGAGTTCTTTTTCATAGATGGACTTCCCCATTGCATGCTGTGAAAACCCTCTGATGATGTATGCCATTGGCCTGCCCTCTTGCATTAATACTGCCCCAATACCCTTACCAGAT